CGGCCCACAAAATTACTGCCGTTTTCGACTTGGATAAACGCGGTCTCTGCGCTTTGAATCCATTAACTGCGCTTTTGGTGTTTTCACGGTAACCGCAGTGAACTCCTCGACAAAGTTATATGTTATAACGTAATCAGCAACGGAGCGCGAAAATCCACAGCGCAGATAAGTTTAAGTTTCTCTGAAGTTTACAAATGATATCGCGGTACGATAATATTGCATGTACACGTGTGCACGAGAGAGAGAGAGAGAGAGAGAGTAGAGCTATTAATGATTTACAGCCGTGGCGGTTGCCGGTGACACGTTGAAAGAAGCCGGATTTATTGCCGATACATTTGCGGGGTGGTAACGTTTTATTTTATTTTTTTGCCCCAAATATAAACGGGTTAAACGGTCTGAAAATTCTAACGACGCCGGCCAAGTATAATAGTTATTCAAAAGGTATAATATACAATACGGATAATAATGTGTTGTGCACGCTTTTCGCCACTGTAAACTCTGTCGAAACGTCAATTGTAAATCGTCTGGCCGTTGGGAGAATGGCCATTTTCTTTAAAATGTGCATTAGCCGAGTAAAGGGCGGAGAGAAGATAAAAAAACGTAGGTACTTTAGCCCGCTTAAACAACGTATTAAAGATTCACGACGACTTTGGCAAACGATAAATTCGATCCGACCTGCCTGTGTGAATCGCACTGGCCGTAGACGACTGCGATAATAGCCCAAAGTAAGTTCGTGGAAAACTTCTTTCGAGACAATATCGATTTTTCATTTCGAGTTTAAGCACCCCGCGCCCGCATTCCGTCACACAAAGCACTCGGTATGGTATTAATTCGTTTAAAAATTTAATCCTAAAGGAACTCTTATATACCTGTTAATTTAGCCGGCCACCTCAAAGCATACCGCGCGCACCATCCCAAAGTCATTAACAGTCTTATTATACTTTACTAAACGAACATTCCTGGTTCCTCGACTAACCGTCAATTGATCCAGACACTTGTAACGTTTTTCTGATTTTATGAGAAAACCACAAACTATGTTTTGGACTTGTAGTTTCTGCTGTGTATGAACGGATTTTTTTTTTAAATATTATTTAATGGTACATGATGTGTTGTTTGTACACAAAAATATGCGCACGGGAATACTTTGCTCGCCTTTCTATGATGTCATAAATACTACCATCCTTATTCCTATTCCTAATACTCGAAGTAGGCAATGGCATTTGAAAAAAGGAATAATTTACAAAACTCCATTTTAAACTCAGAATAATTGTTAAAAACGTTATATGCGTAGTTTTTGAAATGGCCGGCTCAATATAATCATACCAAGCGTCTTCTTCTTTAGTAATCAACCCTAAGGTGGGTTCTACAGCATTCTTCCATACTCCCTCCACTCTTCTCTGTAATTGGTCAGTCTTTTCAGTTCCCTGTAGATTCTCAATGCGGCATCTTTAACTACCTAGCATAAGAGATAGAAATTATTACTGTTAACCCCGGAAGGTGGTGCAAAGTTTTTGAAACGTCGACGACCCAGTCTATATCCGCATGATGTTAATATACTAGTCATTACGAGTGTACTTGTACTCTTTGTAGATAATATATATATATACATATTATACACATTGTCGTGTTGCAATAAAGAACAGTTCGTTCGTTACAGACAGCACCTACCGCACAGTCAGCAGACTAATTAAAACGGTATTGCTCGCCCAGAAATTCCTTTTCCGGTTGCGCGCACAACACTGTGTAGGAATTATTTCTCTGTATAATACAGCCGGCTCTATATATGTATACTCACGGCCCAATAATAATAGTAATAATAATATGCAAAGGGTTGTGTTTTGCTCGCCATTCGCTGGCTAGATACCATGGTCTTTGTCTCTGTTACACGTGCTCGGAGGAATTTCAAACATCGGAAGTTAATTTCCCGTGTTGCCGGAACGACCGACGGCGGTGTTATCTGTGTGTCTATGCTTGAATTCAATTTCGAACCACCCCGAACCGGAAGTCTGAAGCGCAAAACTTATAGCCTTCAAAGATATTTCTTACAGCAGCTAGCTGTCGTTGAACTATATATGGTACTAGATTATAACTCAATGCGTTCTCTGAGATGGAATATATTGTAATGTATATAAATTTTCATTTACCGGAAACGCGTTTCGACGGAAAGTAAACACGGAAACTGTACATAAAAAAAAAAAGTGCTCAAGACGTTTAGATGGCGACATTTGTATGTTTATTTTTATTCAATTCTCACATTATCCTACCATTTAAATCCTTAATATTATTTACACGGTTTCTTAGAGATTTTGCTACCTTATTTCAACTGTTTCCTAGTTTGGTCGAACTGACACCATTACCAACACTAGTATTCATATGTACTATTGCTGGTTCCTCTGAAAAATTCTATATTCGATTTACTTGTGGCCTGTTTCCGTCTTGTTCAGACACACTTCATTCTAACACTTAAATTACCCCGGTCTATTTACTTGTTGCTCTATAAGTCTACGATCTCCTTCCTAAACTTAATTTAACAAACGCTACTTTAATATATTATACTCATGACGTGACCTACACTCCACTGGTAATATTTTTACATTTATCGGCAAATGAAATAAACTGTGTCGGTGTTAAGTCAATTTATTGGTTCAGGTACTATGCGCGTTGTTGGACAGCTTAACTGGTTTCATATTACACACAACTTTAAGAAGACCTACATCGGCCACGTGTAATGTTTTCATACATAAGTTCTCATAAACCTATAATCGACGTTCATGCACACTGAAACCATTTGATAGCGAACGACGTCCTACTTAAAGAAAATAAATCCAAGTTGTTTTAAATTGTGGAAACCCCCCGATTAGACGGTAAAAACAACAACGGCTTTCAATTAAAAACAACACCTTTAGTCAGCTCAGCGTCGAAGCCGAAAAGTTTTTTTTAGTAATGAAAATTCTGTAATCGTTCAACTTTAATAAGGTTTATTGTTCATCGAATAAAACGCTCAAGGTGAGGTTGCTTAATTTCCAAAAACTTTTAAAACAAGTAAACTGAAGTTTATAAAGTTTGCATAAAAAAAAATATCATCATGGTCTTGTAGGATGCTATAGGTAGATTTGTTTTCTTCAAAACCCTTTTTTCTCATAAATACATGATTTAATTACAGACAAAATGGCGTTTTTTGATTTTGTTTCAAAAGTCATCCATCAAATTCCCTCATAACGCTCCCTCGCTAATTACTCACGGACAAGACGCCTCAATGTGTCATTATGTAAATTGCACATTAATATTATTTATCTCGTGTATGCTTCGCAAAAGATTTTTGAATCAACGATAATTCGACTAAAGGGCAGGGGGAGGGGTCGGTTGTTCGTCGACGGTGTTTTTGAGTTGATGAACAATTTGTGATTAACTTTAATTACTATTATTATGATTAACGCGATTCGCTTGAATGAAAAATAACAATTTATCGCCGACGACCGGGTTGGATTTAAATAACTAAATAAAATAAATATAACATATATTTGTCGTGGCGACGGCTTGTCTTGGCGCAAAGAGCTTTTCCCTGTATTTTTTTTTGTTATTAAATTTAAACACAACTTACTTGTACTTGTGAGTGCACTTTTGGTTTTGTCATTCCGGTTAATCGCTATTGGAAAACTCGATTATTTTTCGGCGACGGTTACCAAAGAACCGAATAAAAGTCATCGTCGAATGAATGAAAACAAAATCATTGGCCCTAAAGAAAACCCGCGACGTTGCCCAGTGATTTTCCCAAGGGGTTTCCCAATGTTACTATTAACTTATATTTTGTGTATTATAATATTCAATTTTACCATTATCGTCATCGTCATTATTATTATTGCAATATTAACGAACCCGGTGCAACGACAGTGTATGATAAAAAAATAAAAGAAGGGTAAAGGATTTGCCAAACATGACTCACGGATTTTAATGAGCCTCTCGCCAGCGGGACGACCCTCTTTTGGAGAGTATTATTAAATTATCCGATGACGATTTCATTATAATAATAATAATCTAGTCAATAACGTTTATTAGCCGGTCGATACTTGATTTTAGAGTTTGTCTCGCAAAACGGGGATCACGCCAAGACGGCCAAGATGGCTAATTTTACAATTTGTTTTTCCTACAGCGGGGGAGGGTTAATAATATTTAATATAATATAAAAAGCTTACATACAAATAATTTTTTGCACCGTGTAATGTATTATGCGACAGCACAGTGTCTCTGTCGATGCGAGAAAATTGCAAATTTTATTTTTTCCATAAAATTACATAATATTTTCCTTTTATTATTATTTAATACCGTGCATTTCGCCCGCCTCCATTTAACGTTTCCCAAAGCACTTCATAATAAAGACATAATAATATAATAGGCTATTTTATATCATACCGTGAGCGCCTTTGGACAATTTTTTATATTTTCCCTCGAAAAAAAAAATACATAATATAATCGACACCGTTTGAACGTCGGATAAAGTGAACCGCCCAAGAACTGCGCATACTTTCTGTATTTATTAAATATATTATGTATATATATATTTTTTTTAAAATAAATAAATAATAATTTTTTTCGCTTCTGTCGTATAGCACTTGCAAGTGGTGTGTGTGTGTGTGTGTGTGCGATACACGACCAGACGATTTTATTTTATTATCATTTTCCCATATCCGGCCGAGCCAGCCAGGTCTGTATTTCATTCACTTTTTTTTTTTACCCAACACTTTTTAGCATTTTCAATTTCTACTCAATTTTCTCCTTCGACGGTTCCGCGCCGAGGCTGTAAACAATACACAAAACCGATATCTACATCCGACACAGAGAGCGACGTTGTACTTATTTTTTTTTATCCTCTTGCCGCTTCCGTAGGGTAAAATCATAAACTTCTACTCGGTTTCGCCCTCACCACACGTTGCCAACGCTCATATATCGATTTCAATGTGACAATAAACACTTATTGTTTTTTTTTTTAAATTATTTTACAGAATGGAAGAAACCGTACGGACGTTGCTGCAGTACAAATCCAAGTTCGAACAATTGAAACAAGACCGTCACTCTGCGGCCAACTCCTACGAAGTAAGTTTCCATAATAATAATAATAATTTACATGGCGTAAGAGAGAGGAGGGGGTGGAGTTAACGATGGTCGCCAAGGGCCCAGGATCGACTGAAGTCTGCGGGCAGTTTATAAACGCCAAAACAACTGTCACTAATCGTATGAACTATCGAAACAGATGTTTTTCAGGGCCGTGGAATGAGAATATTGTCGTAGGCCGACGGGTAACCATATCATCTTAAATCGTGGCCAGTAGTAGTCTTGCAAGGGGCGGGCAACGAGATAAGGCGTCGATAAAAACGACGTTATGACGGTCTCCGCATGTAAAGGGGGAGACCGATTTGATTATTATCAAACGAGGTTTCTTTCAATATTGTTGGAAATTGAATTTGCGCCACTCGTTATGTTTTAATCGACCGCTCCGGGCCGTACAATACTCCCACACATACATACAAAGAAATCCTAGAGCGGCTGCCAAAATTAGGGTGATGTGCACAGTCTCTCCAATGCCCTCGGTGAACGTGACCCTTTTTTTTTAGAACCGAATTCGGTTTTCGCGTTTAGCACCGAGGGTTTATTGTTTTCTTTTATTCCCCCCCCCCCCGGCCCCAACCGGTCTCTTCCCGCGTCAGTCTGTGTTGTCAAGCTTGTCAAAAAAAAGGGGTTTACAGCGAGTATATCGATTGTGGCGGTTGTATGACAACACACAAACACAATGACGTCATCCTCGTCTGGTGGTCGGTGTACTGCTCTGCGTAGTTGTTGTAAACGAAACGTTTGGGGCACATCTAACACAGCACAAACAGCAGACACGGGGAATACGGAATTAATTGCGGAAACCCTCGGACGTGTGTAGTGCGTGTCTGCCAAATGATATAGTGCGCGCGGTTCTTGTCGGACCCAGACGAGACGACGGGTCGCTTAAGAACCCCTTGGGCATTGCAAATACACACACACACGAGAGGGGGTGTCGAACGATAGATGTTAACAAACTCCGGGTGTTGTGGTAATAGCACAAGCGGTGCAAACGGTTAGGCCTCGATGGCGAAGGAAATGGACTTGGAAGTATTGGGGCTTCGAGAAAGAAACCATATAAGCTCCTCCTCTGTGCCGCAGAGCTTTTGGCATAGGTCTGGATCGTGTAGTAAATTTGTCTACCACTTAACCGAGGGCTGCGACAAGGGTAGTTGTATAGTGTCTTTTAATTTTCGTACACACCACCCTCTCCGCGTGGTCTGCGGATTATAGATAAGCTCGTTTTTATGAATCTCTCGGTATGTATTACAATCATATCTCCGGCGAACGGTTCACGGGCCATAACCGTTTAAAAGTTTTTTTTCCGGGTTCATACCGCGTTTTTTTGTGGGGTGAGACGATAACCGCGCCCCTGTTCTTGTTCGTATAATACCCCGGCTCCGCTTCCCTTCCACGGTGTGTACACTGTGTACAAAGCCGCAGTGTTTGGTCGTGAAACTCCACTGTGGGTTGTACCAAGACTTATCGAATAAGACCACACACGCAAAATACCTCTGGCCCCTCCAAAGACATGGAATAATATTATGTACTATAAACCAACAATGACATATTTTTACTAAGAAATAGAAAGCATCCCTTGCCGCATGCCCATATTGTGATGTCCTCCTAATCACAACTAATTAACCACACATAATCGGTTCGGTTCACTTCAATCGTGCGGATCTCTTTGTGGGGGCACAGCTCGCGTTGTCTGACTGAAATCCCATAAATGTTGTAGATCTACGGTTATTTTAGTAATTTTTTTATGTGCACGACAAAACGCGACCGGCGCACGTTTAGATAAGCTGGAAATTGTTTCAATGAAATACCCGATAAAAACACAAGGGTTGCGTTTACAGCCTGCCGTTGGCCGAAACGTCAAAACAAGTTGCCAGCGCTCAAGTCCCCCGAGTACACGTGCTCCGAACGGTTAAAACTTTCCCGGGCTCTATATTGTATACCTACCCTTTTAACGATATTAATTTCGGAAGTTTGACGGAAAACGGATTTTTTATTTTTGTGGTATGTGTGCGCGCCCTATACACGTTTTACGATTGCCTTAGGTTCAATTAAAATATTTTATACATTACCGTTGCCGTTTCGTCGTTGAAAACTGTATAAAACGGCCGCGTGGCAATCTGCGGATCGGCTCTTTAAGAAAATTAGTCACCCCCCTAGTGTGGGCACGAAAATTTAACGTATTAATCTGCTCCATAAGCAGCGCACGTACCGCGGTTTACACAAAGAAAAACAATTATTTTGAAACCCGGACAGGATTTACGGCCGTTTCCGGTTGTTGTTGTTGTTGTTACTGTTGGGTGCAAAGGGGTTGCAAGGGGAACCTTAAGCGTGATAGACCACAGTTTTCAGGCGGACAATTTGGAAGGGGTCAGCGTTAGAAACAGCTATTATTGTGTACGGCGAATGTTTCAAATTGATTTCTGTGCTCTAATGTTGGAAAGTATTTGGCAATGATGTAGCGCAGCAATTATTTACATAATCAAGTTTATAATTTCCTATAGGCTAGACTGAATTCAATGTTTGGCGGTTTCCTATTGATATATATATATATTATTGGGTAATTACCCTACCGCCTACAGTATCTACCTATGAAGTTATGTATAGCAATGTTGTCGATGGTCGTTTCCGTCCTAGAACGAGATATAGTCTGTAATGAATTAGTCTGTGTGTGTTTGTATCCCGAAAAGCAATTTTATTGCCTATTTTATATTCGCGTTCAGCCGGCCGGCCAACCACGTATCCTGCCACTACCGACACAACAGCTTCCCTTCTCCTTTATCCCGAGGGACGTGCACCACCGTCGCTTCATTACCGGACCCCAAATCCTGCGTGTGACTGCCACCACCGCCACCACACTACCACCCTGTATATTGTATTCTCCTGCTTGTTATTTGGCCACACACGACAATATAACATCACATATAGAGACACCCCTAAAAATATCATTATTAGCCTTAGTTAATATTTATTTTATTTCACACAGTTATTCGCGATTTAACGGTGACCCCTCCTCCGGGGGCAGCAGAAGGGGAGGGTCGTAGATTTCGAAACACCATCCAACCACGACCACGGTCGCATCCTTGACCGTCCGACCAACAACCGAACAGCTGAGCAAACCTAGCCGGACGTTTTGGTTTATGAGCCAACCCTGGCTGACGAGGAACGTGTACAGGCGTTTTAATCATGTCGGCATAATATGAAATTACTCTCTTGAAAAATAATTGTAAAAACCCTTATATTATCTCTGACGAAAAAAATCGCAGAGGGGGTTCTGTATACATATTTGCGTTGGCCGTTCATTAACCGAGTGTTTAGTGTGTACACAAATACAAATCATTCCGGTCGTCGTCATCCCCCGTGGCGTTTTTAGGGCGTATGTTTCATTTCAAACATTTTGGGAGATTGACAAAAAGTAAAACCACACGGACGACACAAGTTTCGCAGATCAATATAGAGATCCCGCTGTGTCATCGCTGACAAAATGGCGCATAACGGTTTGAGACAGTATACATTTTTTTTGCGAAACAGTCTGTCGGTCAGTTTTTTATTTAAAAAGTTAAGCGTTAAAAGTAGATAGCTCTGGAAAAAAATTAAAATAACATAAACTAAAATGTCTTCAAAAAGGAACCCTACAAAGGTGCACTTATTTCAAGAGAAGAGTCTTTAGAGTCACTTCGGTCAACGTATTTGTCAATGTAAAAGAATATAATTAGGAGAATATGTTTTACGAGAAAACTTGGACTCTGGAAGTCTATTTCGGAAACGCCAATTATATTGTAGACATCAGTCAGCGCGTTCCACAATGGTTAGGAATTTAATACATATTGTTGCGGCGGTTGTTCCTGATTAATTGACTTCCCGCCGACTTTGCCCGGGGTCCAATTTAATTCGACGTAAGCCTATATGGATTAGCGTTGAAGTATTAATTACCGTCGTTGGTGCGTTCAAACTACAAACGGAAGAAAAATTCCCACAGCAAGTTCAAAACGCGCTAGTCATGCATGACCGACACGTGTCACATTGTTTGATGACGGTCTATGCTGTCATTTAAGCTATTTCCAAAAAAACAAATTAAATCGGTTTCCCATGACGAATAACCTTTGTGTGTAAAACAACAACTTTTAACAGTTATTATGAAACGGACCGCAAATATGTTTGCAGTCGTGGTGTGCCCACAGGACTTGGACAGGGTGATTCGAGGGTCAACCTTAAGCACACAACGCAAAAGTTTCGGCTTCGTCCTTCGACCTACCTATATAATCGATAAGACTATTAATTTACCGTAATAAAACGGCCATCAATGTCGCCGGAATGCGCTCGTTAAGCGATTCATTGTCGGGATACGGTACCTATCGGGGCTAATGGGTTATAAGTATTGTATATGAAGGTGTTGCGGCCCAGTGTAGTAAAGTTTGTTTGGAAATCCTCGGCTAATTAACACTCGGTGACTTGTGTGCGCATTGGCCGCTGCAGTTTGCCCCCGAAGTCGTTAGTTATATGGAACTCTCCCCCTTAGCCGGTGCGGTGGTAGCACGATGAACGGGAGAAGAGGGAAACGAAGGGGAGGACCCGGAAAGGATGCGACGGGGAATAGGGCGCAAACGCGGCTGTTAATTTTCCCTCGCACGTATTCGACTTGCCCGCGCCGTTATGAATTGAATTAAAAACAATAAGCCACGCGTAAATAAAACGACTATGCCCAATTTAATACTCCAACTTAATACGATCATTCCTTGGACTATAAAATTCCCGTCGAACCCATAAAACGCACACGCCCCAAACTTATTAATACAGTCGATAACGATATATGATATACCTCATTCGCTCACTGCCGGCGGTAACAGTTTCTCCCTTAGGCTCAATGTATTCCACATACTTGGTTGTCGACACGGTCCTGAGATTTATTTAGCCGTCACCCCTTTACCTAGAGTTCACCTTAACATATTCCACTATAATTATCATTGTCGCGGGTTGACCTCCCGGAC